CCAGGTTCCGGCCCTCCTGCATCATCCTCGTCCGGAATTGATCATCACGCTCCCATCGCTCTGAAACGGACGGGTAGTTCATTTTGGCTGCCCGAGTCCGTCGGTCCTTTGCCTCCCTGATCACCGCCGCCTCCGCGCTCATTTGGCCGCGCTTCTTGGAACCATCGCCTCCACGGAGATCGCTGGTCAAGAGTGCGTCGATAGGCTTTTGGCTACCAGTTGCGGCGGCGGCCAAGATGCGCTTGCGGAGCTTTGCATTCTCGAAGAATTTCTTCGTGGTCTTGGTGGTCTCATCGGACTGCGGCGCATTGCACTTTAGGCAGAAGAGCATTCCATTGGCGACCACAGCGTGGCACGAGGCACATGGGTGCGAGCCAAGTGGGTAAAGCTCCGCCTCGCCAGCGTCCGTTGTGTCGCCCTCGTCCACCTCGACCTCTACCTCGACCTCGACATCGTCTGAAGCAGAAGGAGCAGGCTCACCCTCGCGGGTGGCAACAACAGGTACCATGGTCGTGTCCTCGATTTCAGAGGGGTCAATGACCTTGGGCTTCTGTGTTGCCATTGGCATTCGTTTAGCAGCTGCGGCCTTTGGCGGGGCTGCTGTGGATGAGCTCGCTGCTTCCTCATAGTCGCGCTTTGCACGGAAAGTGCGCTCTGGCTCACCCTCGCGGGTGGCTTCTGAGCCTTTCGCGACGTAGAGGGGCTTGTCCTTCTGGCCGGTGTCAATGGCCGAGACGATGCAATCCGGCGGGATGGTGTCTGGTTGGACCTCATGCCACTCATGTACTTGGCATCGTTCAGCCGGTAAGGGGAGAGGTAATTGTGGGCTCTGTTGGAGCGGGCGCTTCCCGGCACCATACCGTCGCGGATGATGCCGCGCATTCCCTTTTCATTTGTCCGATGATAGAGCTTCGTGGGGGTGTCTTCCTTGGGTAGCACGGTTACCCCACGGATGCTGCTCTGCTCCTCGGCCTCTTCCTTCGAAAGTGTGCTGAGGAACTTAGTTGCAAGGAAGAGATCTGCATCAGGGTTGTTCCCAACCAGCTTCTCGTTATGGCCCTGGCTGATGCGCACACGGACTGGGAAGAGCGGCTGTCCGATGGTCTCGTGCATGGGCACATCAATACCCAGGAGACGAATCCGACCCTTCTTGTCAGCCTTCGCAGCACGGAGGAGCTGCTCCCCAACGGGTGCCGCGACATCTGTTGAGCAGCGAGTCCACATCGGTCCAACACCCACGGTCGAACGCCAGTGGGTATGCCTCAAGCTCGTGGCCACGCAGAAGCTTTGTGAGGAAGAGCAAGTCGCCATGTTTGAACTTCATATCCTTCTCGCCGTTGATGTCCTCAGGATTGAACGGCTTGAGAAGGTGCTTCTTACCGTTGTAGAAGTACTCATTTGGCAATCGCTCATGAACGGTGGCAGCCCCTTGCAGGGCGCTCTCATCGATGAACATATGCCTTCTAAGGGCATCTTCGTCCTGATCGGAAGCCTTTTTCGGTCTCTGAGTCGGCTTTGGGGCCGGCTCCACCACGCGCCCGATGGACGAGGAGATTGGGTTGTTGTATTCTCCATCGTCGACGAGATTCACCGTTCCAGGGGGATCATAGGATACCTTCCCCTCCTCATCGTGCGTGACAACGTCATGCACATGGCGTGCTATGGCACTGATGTCCGTATTGGACCCGAGCTGAGGCACATCCTTGCGGATGGC